GGTATGGTATGGTATGGTATGGTATGGTATGGTATGGTATGGTATGGGTGTTTTGCATGTATGTCTGTGCCCTGTACCTGTGGAGTTCAGAAAGGGATGTTGGGATATGGTTGTAAGCCGCCGTGTGGGTGCTGAGAATCTAACCTAGGTCCTCTGGAGGAGTAGACAGTATTCAGAACCAGTGCTAGCAATTTCTTCAGATCCTTGTCAGAGTGTTTTGTCACAGCAGCAGAAGTGACAGTGGGACAGCTCTAGAGTGCTTAAATGGCATGCATGAGGCCCTGTGTTCAGCCCCTAACACCACAGAAACAAAACAAAAGCCCTAAACCAGAGGAAAGGGGGAGTCAGAGTATGCATGCGTCCTTCTTTTATTGTACTCTACAGGTCTGTTGTTTCCATTGGAGCTATCCGTTGCTGAAGACATGAACAGACTGGGTAGTTTCTGTAGTTGATTAAGACAACTCTTCTCCCTGCGTGGCAAAAACACAGAGGCAGGTTAAGCTCTTACAACAACTTCACTGTGAAAAGAAGCATAAGGTAGGAAGAAGAAAGGGAGGCCAGGAGGCTGTGAGGCCAGGCCATGGTTCTGAGATGACAGGCACCAGGCTAGCATGCAAAGCCTAGAGTTCCTCTGGATTCGGAGGCAGCTGTGCTCTGGAGGTAGAGATGCATGAGAGATTGTCTCCCGAAGCAAAGCCCTGGGAGGGATTGCAGTTCGACTAGCCTCAGAGGGGGCACTTGGAGTAGAAGCCAGAAGTCCCAAACAGTCCTAAGTCACTTCCTCAGGTGCAGTAGAAGAGGAGGTGGACAGAGTCTGTGCCTTTCATGGGAACAGGTGGTTGTGTTGTGCAAGACGGGGATCGGCAATCTGTCACATGCTGCTGGAATCCAGACACACCTGACATTACAGAGGCCCTATCTTGAGCTTATACATTGCATGTACCCCCCCTGAAACCTCTTCAGCACCTTTATCTGGCATAAATAACCCAGAAGTTGATGAATGCTGTCTCATTCATGTTCTTACTTTAGGTTACAGGTAACCTGAGTGATTCTGTCATTTACTAGTATGTGATCTTGGACAAGTCTGTGTAGACCACAGTCCCTTAGGCTGTTGGTCTTGGAGGAAAATTTGGCAACAGTTAAACATTTCTGAACATACAACTGTCAAAAATCAAAACCTGAGGCTAAGAACGTGGCTCCATTGGTGGAGGGCTTGCCTACCATGCACAAAGCCCCGACTTTGATCCCCAGCACTGTGTAAAACAAGACACAGTGGCACTGGCCAGCAATCCCAGCACTAGGGTGGTAAAAACAGGAGAATCAGGGGTTCAAAGTCCTGTTTGATTATGTAGTAAGTTCGAGGCCAGCCTTGCATGAGACCCTGACTCAAAAGAAAAACAAGCTTAAAACTAAAGATGCAATGAATTTGAGTTGTCCGGCAGCAGCTGCCTATGTTACATCAGCAACTTCTCTGAAGTTTGCTTCTGTGTGTACAAAGGGCATACTTTGTGCTACGCATGCTGTCTTTGAACTCATAGAGATTTGCCTGCCTCTGTCTCCTGAGTGCTGGAATTAAAGGCGTGTGCCACCATGCCTGACTGCGGGCATAATTGTTTAATCATGAAAAAGTCTTTAAATATATTTCTACCATCATACTTCAGTATCTAAGTATCAAATTAGTGTAGTTTTGGATTGTATCATGTTAGAACATTTGATTTTTTTAAAAATTACTGCTTGCGGGACTGTAGAAATGGCATGTTGTACTTTCAGAGGACCAGAGTTCAGTTCCCAGCACCCAGTTAGGTAGCTTACAATTGACTATAACTCCAGCTCCGGAGGATCCAGGACAATTCTAGCATGTGTGGGCATCTGCACACATGCACATACAGGCGTGGGTGCATGTACACGTGTGTGCACACGCACACACACAAATATTTAAATAAATAAAAATTAAAAAGTGCTGTTTGAGTTACTGCCTTTAGCTATATATTTTGAAAAATTAAATGATTTTTGACTTGGAATTAGGACAGACTTTTAAAAATGAAAACATTTTTAAAGTGTGTGCGCGTGGTGTGGGTGTGTGGATGTATGCTATGGTGCATCTGTGGAGGTCAGAGCACTACTTTATGGAGTGAGTTCTCTCCATCCACCTCTATGTAGATTCTGGGAATTGGACTCAGGTTGTTGTGCTTGCATAGCAAATGCTTTGATCCACTGAGCCACCTTGCTGGCACTGGGATAGAATTTTTCACAACTCCTGAAATAGCCCTAAGCATTCGTCTGCCACTTTGCTCTATGTATTTGTGGGAAGCTGTTCTCTCAGGACTGATGATTATAAAATCAAAACATCTATTACACTGAAGATGCTCCATGCCTTAACATATTCAATATTGAGGCGAGATTTAATTCTTTATGTAAAAATAAACAAAGTCATTCATCTTATTAGTATGCAAATTTTCCTTCTTCTTTAATAAATGGTAAAATGATATATTTACCAAGGAATTGTTTAAAATTCTTTATGATTTATTATTGGTAAATGTTTAATTTGTGTACTTATTTTTTTATACCTAGGTTGCTGTGAAAATTTTTAGGATGAAAAGGGGGCCCACATGGTAACAGATCAAGAAGCTCGGGTTTAAAATCCTCTGCCCCAGTTTTGAATATATGTTAAATGGGGAACTCTTGCCCTTCCAGGATTTACAAAGAACTTAGCACCAAATACTTGCTCACATCTGTCACCCTTCTCCTTGCTCTACTCATTGCTTTTTGGGAATGTTACATAACTCATTTCTCCAGACGTTTCCATTCCTTGTCTTCTAGTTACCTAGATCCTGCCTGAGACAGCAGCTTGTTAATATGGCCTTGCTGGCAAGGCTAAAAGCAGTGGACCCTCTAGTGTTGCTGGTGGAGACCTGGAATATGCAGAGGGGGATGCTGTAGTAGTCTGAATGAAATGTCTCCCATACTTACATACTCATTCATGGGAGTCTGAATGCTGAGTCCACAATTGATGGCTCTGTTTGGGAAGACTTAGGAAGTGCGACCTTGTGGGAGGAAGTGTATCATTGGAGACAGACTTTGAGAGTATAAAGACTTACACCATTTGTGCTTAGTTTGCTCTCTGCTTCCTGCTTGCTGTTTGGGATGTGAGCGCTTAGCTTGCTGCTCCAGTCTCCCTGCCTACCTGCTGCCATGCTTCCTCACCACGACAGTGATGAGCTCTAATCCTGTGGGACTGGAAGCCCTAATAAACCTTTCCTTCTATAAGTTGCCTGGTCATTAGTGGTTTCTCACAGCAATAGGAAAGGAACTAATACAGATGCTAGCATTCCATCTCAGACGTCTTAAAGGAACATACCGAATTCTTTCATTTTAATATTTAATTTTTGTTGTGCTAGAGGCGAGCATTCTATCTCTGATTCGTATCCCCAGTCAACAGACTAAATCCTTTGCTTCCTTGATGTACTGTCACAGCAGACCTGTCCATGTGATAAAGCCTGCCTTTTGTCCAAACATAATTTTAGACAAATTTATGTGACTTACGTAAAACCATAAGCCAAAGGACTCTTAATATCCTGACAACAATGGCTTCTTGTTCAGCTCTACAGACATAAGAATCAACTCCAGCCTATCATCATTCTGGAGGTTATCAACTAGAAAGAGAATCTGAAATGGACCCAATTACATCAGTGTTCCAGTCTCTGCCTTAGACCACTTGAGTCTGTGGTTAATTATGAGATACAATAGCAAGAGGAATGGATTAGGAAATGAAGGCAAGAGGTGTAGCTGAGGTCTTAGTCATCCATTTCTTTAACCAGTGGTGACAGGTACCCAGGCCATATTTTTGGCTGATATTTGATAACCTTCAGCCATGATCCTCCTCTTGCATAAAGTTTACTGTCAGTAGCTGTGTAACCTACAGGAAGTCAGTATACCTCTCTGGGACTCATGTTCCCCACATGTCAAAGGTGATACATTTATTTATATTCTAAAGCAATTACTAGAGCTATAAGAATACAGGCGTGAAACCTCTGCAGACTGTGAATTTTCTCTGTGATTGCCCTCTATGTAAAAAGTATGCAAATAGCTGATATTGTCATTGGAAATTTATGTCCTAAGTCTATTTTGAGGATACCAGGCATATTCTAACTATCTTGTTTTCCTTCCTTACCATCAAGAAAGCCAGCCAAAACTGGAATGAATGAGAAAGAGAAAATTCTGCTATGCGCGACTAAGTATTACATATAGATAGGGATTTCTGCTACACTGGTCTAAGTACTATAAAGAACTAAGCTCTACTTTGTGTTCTCAGATAGGTTGGATTTCAGATATGGCTCCTGTTGTGCACTGTGAATAATATTCCCCCTAAAAAATAGATTGAAGTCCTGTGGGAAAAGTTGTTGATGGAATGACTTTCCTCTGTAAAATTACTACTACAAATTGGGTGTGGTAGATAGACGATGATTGTAAACCCAGGTACTTGGGAGCCTGGAGGATGACAAGTTCAATGGCTTCCTCAGATATATAGAGTTTGAGGTCAGCCTAGACAATCTCTTCTGTTTTTCGAGACAGGGGCTTCTCTGTAGCTTCGGTGCCTATCCTAGAACTAGCTCTTTGCAGACCAGGCTGACCTTGAACTCACAGAGATCCGCCTGCCTCTGCCTCTGGGGAGTGCTGGGATTAAAGGCGTGTGCCACCACCAGGCTGAGACCTCTCTTAAAATAAAAAGGAGGAGCTGGGGATATAGTTCAATGATAGAGAACTTGCTTAGCATACACCAGGGCTTGGGTTCAATTGCCAGGGCCACAGCTAAAGACAATATGACAAAGCAAGAAAACGTCATTACGATGGGTCCTTATCAGATATCCAGCCTGTGTATAGCAAAGTAAGGTAAATTTGGACACACACACGCACGCACGCACACACGCATGCACACAAGGTGATGGTGTGGAGAACATCCTGTGATGATACAAACAGAGAAGGGAGGAAGGTCACGTGAAAATGAAGTTTCTAGTGAATGAACATCTAGAGCTACCTGCAGCTGGAAGAAGTTCTTCCATTACAATCTACAGACTATGGCCCTGCCACCATGTTGGCTTCATATTCTAGCTTCTGAAAATATGAAACAGTATCTGTTGTTTATACTGCTATATTATAGCAATTTCAGGGAAGAACACAATCCCCACCACATGCTTCCTCTGCCTCCCATGTAGTTATGGTAACGTTTCCTCTTCTACTCATAAGCACGCGTGAAAATTGTGCCTTGATCTAATGTGAGTGTTCAGAATGGCAGAAATGCTTAGATAGGACACTGAGCACCATCTCACAATTTTTTTTTTAAAAAAAACAGTTTTGCTTTAGCTTTATTTTTCTGAGACAGGTCTCACCATGTAGCCTGACTGCTGCCCTTGACTCTCCTGTTTCAGCATCCCAAGCACGAAGATTACAGGCATATGCCTCCACACTCACT